GAACATCGTCCTCAAGGCTTGGTGGGCCAGGATGTGCTCCACTCTCTCCTCCTCCCCCTTCATCTGCTTGTGTGTGCTCCAATCAGATATGTCCTTCTCCCGGAGCTGCAGATTCAATGCCGTCATTTGAAATAAATTCTTCTGGGGGGAGGGGCAGGTGTCCACGTAGTAGTTGGGTTTGGGGCCGGCCCCTCAGACCTCTCCACTGGTGGTAAACATTTTTCTCAACTCATACATTGTACACTCACTGGCCCTTGTATTTCCTGCTTTTATTCCTCTTTCTTTCCCAACCCTCTGAACTCTTGTCTTTGGGTAAATGCTACCATTTCGATTTTAAATGTTGATCATTGTAGCTCTTGATTTCTTCTTTAAATATACTGTGTCATATTTTATAATGTCCAATTTCTGCTCAAGTTTGTCTTTATTTCCTTGAACTGACTGAGCATAATTGTTTCAGTCTGTCCTAGATAGTTGGAAGACCTGGAATCCCAGTGTGTATCTCTTTACCAGTCCCCTTGGCTCTAAGTGCACAATTGTTTTTCCTTCTGTGCTGATTTTGTATTTGAAGAATTTATAGAAATAATTAGAGGCTTAGAATATTATCTTGCCACATGCATTAGCACAAGAATCCTACATTACAATTAAGAAATTTTAGACTTGAAATTTCTATATTGTTCAGATGATTTCAAGACAGACCCCAATCTATATGATGTCTGCTTTACTTCCTAGCTATATTTACCATTTTCTGAGTGCTAGATTAGAACTTTTATCTCCTACCCTTACAAAGCTGGTGAAAGTGATGTTCCATTGATCAAGTTCCTTTTCTTGACCAGCAAAAACTTCCTGAACAAAAATGGTGAAGTGTTCCAGTCTTCTCACTATGAATATCCAGTTTCTTCTGCATCTTGACTTGATAGTCTCACTATTTTTTGAGCCCTTTAATATAGTATTAAATTTTGCGGGGGTGGGTAGCCCCCACCCACTACTACTACCCACAGGTTTAGTAATGCACAATTATGCGGTTGAGATGTATGTATATTATATTAAAGTCATTGAGAGCATGAGAGGTAGAGGAGAAATATTACAATGATGTAGTCAGACACATTGCATGGTAGCATTGCTCACCTCAGCTCAGCTTGGTGGTCCACGTGGAGACAGGGGGAAGGGAAGGAGGATGGGAAAGGGAACAAGAGAGAGAGGACAGGAGAGGAGAGGGGGAAGAGAGGGGAGCGACCAGCCAGAGCCCAGCCAGAGAGACCAGAGAGGGCTCTATTGTTAGCCTAGGCCTATGTACCTTTGGGGGGGGGGTGCAAGCCCCCTAATTACAGGTAAAGACATACGTCACAGGAAGGGGTTGCACTATCAGTTACACAGCAATGAGAGAGGGTGATATAGGGACATACACGCAATAGGAAGAGGAGGGATTGGGGATATACATGTGACAAGATGGGCGGATCCTATCCTGTCCACTAACATGTACAACCTTGAAGAATCCTGTTGTTTGGCAAAGGCATAGGGAATAAGAATTCATTATGGTCACAGATAGAACTTGCTTCTTTTGTACTGAGTACCCTGTCCACGCATGCTCTTTTTGATGCTGCCCTGTCAAGGAAGGACCTACATTGCCGGGCAAGGGCTCCATGTTCCTCGTGGCTCCTTTCATTTTCTTCTCTTTTATGGTCACACATAATTCAGTAAAACCTAAGTAACTATAACTGCTGTATATCCTTTCTTTAATTCCTTCAGCAATTCATCCTCCAGAAGCTGGATACAGCATTTGCTTACTATGTGGGACTGTCAGACCCAGAGGAGAAGCACCAGTGGCAATGGGTGGATCAGTCACCATACAATGAAAGTGTCACGTGAGTACAGAATTAGACCAAGGAATCCTGAAGATTGGACCGTATTACTAAGGTTTCCCCCACCCTTTTTTTCTGTACTAAACTTGAGGGTGTCCCAGACACCAGCTATTTAACCAAGAAAGAAACAAACAAAAAGCCCATAACCCATTTTTAAAAATTCCATTTGGCACCAAAGTTTTTAGACATATTTATACCTCTAATAAATACTTTAATTACCTTAATTAAGATTATAATACATTGATAAGATCCAATAGCTTTCATAAATCAGGAATGCTAGATTCCGACACTTAAAATAAGCCATATTTATGCAGTTCTTTATAAATGTCTAAGTACTTTAGTGTACATTACAAACTTTGATCTTCATGTCAACTGTGTAAAATATATTGATATTATCCTAGTCTCAATTCTTAGGTGGGAAAACTGAGCATCGGGAACAATAAATGACTTACCCCTGATGACAGTGGGTAACTATCAGATCCAGAGATATTAACTAGTTCTTCAGAATTCAACTACAATAAAAGAACATGAGAGAAAGATGAACAAGTAGATGGAACCTTTGAGGTAACTTGTGGGAGGATGTTTAATGGGTCTTGAGTTGGTTAAGGTGGCAGAATACCAGGCATAGACTGTAAGGGAAATGTCAGAGATAAGGATGGAGAAGAAGCTGCTTAACCATGAGGGCTTTTACAAAAGGAAGCAACATGAGAACTGGGAAAGGAATCATAGGACATAACTGACCTGGATTCCACAATGTGCAAACAATTCCAATCTTTAACCCTTTTAAAAGCACTGTTTAAAAAATACCCTCAAGCAACAAAGCCCACATGGAAGAAGCACACCAGCCTATGCAACCACGAGGTGTCGAAGGGATCAGGTGTAAGGCATCATCAGAACAAAAAATCTTACCATAGTGAATGATGGGGGGAGTGCGGAGTGGAGATCCAAAGCCCATTAGTAGGCCACTGGAGATCCCCTTGCAGAGGGGTCTCGGGGAGGAGATGAGCCAGCCAGGGTGCGATGTAACAATGATGAGAAATACAACTTTCCTCTAGTTCCTAAAGGTTTCCTCCCCGCTCCCACTACCATGACTCGAATTCTATCTTGCAAGACTGGCTGGACCAGAGGAGGTACACTGGTACAGATAGGAAATGAAAATACAGGGAATCCAGGACGGATGAGCCCTATAGGACCAGTGGTGTGAGTGGCAAAACAGGGAGGGTGAAGGGAGAATGGGTAGGAAAGAGGGAACCGATTGCATGGAACTGTGTGTGACCTCCTCCCTGGGGGACAGACAACCGAAAGGTGGATGAAGGGAGACGTCGGACTGGGCAAGATATGACAAAATGCCCATTTATAAACTATCAAGGGCTCATGCGGGAGGGGGGAGCAGGGAGGGAGGGGAGAAGTGGGGACCTAATGTCGGGGGTTTAAATGGAGAGAAAATGTTTTGAGAAACGATGTACAAATGCGCTTTACACAATTGATGTGTGTATGGATTGGGATAACAGTTGTATGAGCCCCTAATAAAATGTTAAAAAAGAAAAAATAAATAAAAAAAATAAAAAATACCCTCATCCTTTTTCTCCCTTTCAGATTCTGGCATCCTGGTGAACCCAATAATCATAAAGAGTGCTGTGTCATGCTAAATTCTCGTAATGGAAACTGGGGCTGGAATGATGTCCACTGTGATGTACCTCAAATGTCAATTTGTGAGAAACTGAGGATCAACTTATGACTGGAATGTCACCCTTGGACATGTGGTTGAATTGTCTTCATCTGCTATGAAAGAAGCAGCTCATGTTTGCTTTTTGTGTACATTTTGTATAAGGGATACCCATAGAATTTTCCAGTGGCCTTTCACCTATGGTACTTATGATAGAATTGGTTAATACACACATTCATTTTGTCACTCAAAATTGTAGAACTTTTTTTCAGACTCATGGAGGGAGTATGAGACTCCTCTCCTAATTTCTGTTTGATTAGTCATGGGTTAGTTACTGATATTGCTACCCCAAATATTGGGTTTGTGCCTTGGAGAAATTGAGCCTAATTAAAAACCACTCCAAGAGAAAGAGAAAAAACTTTATTATTTTAGGAGGCTGGCCAGCTATTAGCAGGTTTTTACATTATCCCAATTTCCAAGTGATAATTATACTAACTTCCTCTAGCAATAATAATCATGTATTACATGCAAGTGATAATTCTTAAGATACACGACAAGCCACAAAAAGCCATAACATACAATGAGTACATAAAATACAGTGAATTCATGAAAAAACACAAAAAACCTATAACTTAGTATCTTGACATTGTCATTCCAACTGACTGTACCTTATCAACCTTAAAAAATGATCCAGAAAACTGGAGGGATCAATTAGACTCCAAGTAGAACTCAAATTGTACTTAATACTCCAAATTCTTATTTGAACTCTGGAAATAGATCAAAAGGTCAAAATATACAGTGATAAATGTATAAAAAAATCAATTCTACAGAAACATGGCTGATTCCAATCAAAATGGCTGCAGTCTTGGTAGCTGTCTTCGTTGCCTGTTGCCATTGTAACAAAGTACCACAAACATGAAACTTTTACAAAATGGCTTAAAACAGCACCAATCGATTCTTTTACTGTTAGGACAAAAGCGGGTATTGAGTGTGTTGTGACTGCTTCAACATCAGCCATTCTTCAGGCTCTTTGCTTCTCCTCCGTAGTTAAGAGGTATTCTTAACGTCATTCCCTGTAAGTTCCACCACATTCATGGATGGATATGCAGCAAATGTAAATATCCATATACAAATATCCTCTGAAGAACCTATTATCTTCAAGAGCATATTTCCACTCTCCCCCCCACACCTGTCCAGTCTGGGAGTCTACCCAAGCATGTACTCATAGTTCCCCATGGTTGCAGGATTATGTATATAACAGTATTTATTGTACAGCTCTCTTTAATGCTTGCCAACCCTCCAGTATTTCCTGGCTGCCATAATTCTCCTCTGACCTTTCTCTTACTGTGTGCTGACTTCCTCTTCACCCAAGCCACCTCTTGTTGACCCTCGAAACCAAAGGTGGGGAAAGATTGGCCCAAAGACCATATAAGGCCCTCAAAATTATCAATCCCAGCTAATATCACAAGCCTCACGAAAGGAAAGCCGTGCCAGCTCTTACATTAGGGGTGAGTTAATTAAGTGTTTAACCCAATATAGCAGGCTAATCTTTAAGGTGATAATTTTGTATGGCCATCAAATGATTTTATAAATATCCAAATGGCCCATGGCAGAGAAAAGGTTTGCCATCCCTGCTTGAAATCATGACTTCCCCTTCTACCCTCAATGACCATCAAAGAATGTTTCTTTTACAGGAAAATCTATGCTTGCCTTTTTATAATAGTGATGTCATATGATATTTGACTAATTTCACTTGTATAATGTCCTCCGGGTTCATTCATGTCCTGAAGTGTTTCTCAGATTCACTATTATTCCTTAACGTTGTGTAATATTCCATTGTGTGTATGTACTGAAGTTTATCCATTCTTCCACTGCTGGGCATTTAGCTATTTCCATCTTTTGGCTATTGCAAATAGTGTTAAGATGAACATGGGTGTGAATATTTGTACTATGGTTCTTATTTCTCTGGAATCTGTACCAAGTATAGGGATTGCTGGGTCACATGTTTGTTTTATTCCCAACTTTTTGCTGACGTGTCATCCCACTTCCTACAGTGGTTGCACCGTTTCACAGTTCCACCAGCAGGGTATGAGGTTGAAAAGTTACTGTTAATTTAGATGAATCAGAAATAACTCAATGGCAGCAGCAATATGCAAGACGACTAAAAGCCTTCATAGTGATTTGAAGTCCTGGAAAAAAAATCATAAGTGTAATTATTAGGTCTCAAAAAGAATTATTTGGCTTTCTATTATTTCATATGGGAAAATATGATCAGTTCTTGAACTTTTCGGTGTTTACACATGAATTTGGAATAACAACGAAGTATTACTGCATTTGAAACAGGTGATTTCTCATCTCTGAATGCTTTATGTTCATCTTTGAAAAGGCCCTTTCCACTTCTGCTGAACTTACAGCAATTGTTTGACAATATTTTTTAGCTGTGTGGACACTTTCAAGAATTGTATAATTAGCTCATAATATCTTGTGTGGATTTGGGGTGTAACACAGAGCTGAAACCCTAACATCATGTCACTTAACAAGTTTGGTGGTTTGTTGAATTGGCAATAAATTTAGTGGCTTTGTTAAGTCATTGGCTTGTCTTTTTTTAAAAAAATAATTTTATTAGGGGCTCATATAACTCTTATCACAATCCATATATACATCAATTGTGTAAAGCACATTTGTATATTCATTGCCCTCATCATTCTCAAAACATTTGCTCTCCACTTAA